AGTCAACAGAAATTAACCTGAGAACCTACTGTTTGTGATTGGCATCTGAAGTGGTTACAGTCTTATAATTGAGTACCCTTACTTTCTTAAAGAAGAAATGTATTACCTTTATATTTTTCCTTTTCCTGCACTTCCTACCTTGCTTTTTAGGAATGCAATTATAGGCTTTGCCTTCTCTCCACTAGACACTTCCTACATTGCAAGCTTTTTAAACTGTGTGTTTACTTGTAAGTTCCAGGGACCAAAACTTGAAACAAACTAGGCACCTCTGGAACTCTCCCCTACCAGGAGATTGCCAGGATACAACAGTCCATTTACAACATAGCTTTGCCCATGGTGTACTAGCAAGACCATCTAATGGATACAACATCAGAGCAAGTTCCATAGACCCTGCACCTCTTCACCCCATCCCCTTCATGCCATTCTGCCAAGTCACCCTTTCAAAGCTCCTGATTTTTGCCCTGAAAGTGGATGCTGTTCCCTTAAGTCAGGAGCTGATACATTCCCTTCAGCTAAGATCTGGCATAAAGTCACCTTTTAAATTATCATCCTCGTGTTTACCATCCTTTCATGTATTGCAAGCAACAAGTTGCATGACCTGTTTTCCTAGTATTGAGCCCTTAGCCTGTGGGGTCTGATGCTTTTTCCTGGTAGTGTGAGAATTGGATTGCACTGAAGGACACCCAGCTGGTGTCCAGGATTTGGTCTGTGTGGGGAAAAAGCCCAGGCATCTGATAACAGAAGTGTTCTGTGTTGCGTGTTGAGAGTGTACTAGAAGAAGATAGTTGTTTTTCCTTTTCTAACAATTTTGTCTTTCAACTTTTTTCATCATGTTTTCTGAGGCATAAAAGTTTTGAATTTTGAGGAAATCATCTTACCTATTTTTCCTTTTGTGGTTTGTGCTTTTGGTTGTCAGATCTGAGAAAACATTGCTACATCCTAGGTCATAAAGGTTTAACTGTGTGTTTTCTTCTAGAGTTTTTAGTTTACCCATCTTTAGGTCTTTGATCCATTTTAAGTTAATTTGTTAATGTGATATGAGGTAAGGATACAATTTCATGTTCCTTTATGTGGATAGCAAGTTGCCTTACATCACTTGTTGAGGACAGCATTCTTTCCCCAGTTTAATGGTTGTGGATCTTGTGTAAAATCATTTGAGCATAGAGGCACTGTTTTATGTGTGGACTTCCGATCCAATTCAATTGATCTTTCTGTTTATTCCTGTGCCAGTGTGACGCTGTTTTGATTACTGCTGCTTTGTAATAAGATTTGAAATTGGGATGTGTGAACCTTCCAATTTGGAGTTACTTTTCTGGATTGGTTTGGCTATTCAGGGTGAATTAAAATTCTATATGAATGTTGGGATTAGCTTTCCCATTTCTGTCCCAAGGCCTTTGGGATTTCTGTAGGAATAACATTGAATCTGTAGTAATAACATTGAATCTGTAGTTTGCTTTGTGTAGTTTGGCAAACCTGACAAATACCATCTTCAAATCTATGAACGTAACATGCTTTTACATTTATTTAGGCTTTGTTTAATTTCCTTAAGCAATGTTTTATAATTTTTCCCATCTAACTCTTGCCCTTTGATTATATTTATTCCTTATTATTGTTATTGGTCTTAAAGTGAAATTTTTACAATTTCCTTTTCAGATTATTCATTGCTAATGTATACATATAAAATAGACTTTTCTGCCAGGCGAGGTGGCTCACACCTGTAATCTCGGCATTCAGGGAAGCCAAGGCAGGCAGATCACCTGAGGTCAGGTGTATGAGACCAGCCTGGGCAACGTGACAAAACCCGTCTCTACTAAAAATACAAAAAATTATCTGGGTATGGTGGCTCATGCCTGTAATCCCAGCTACTCTGGGCAACGTGACAGAACCCGTCTCTACTAAAAATACAAAAAATTATCTGGGTGTGGTGGCTCATGCCTGTAATCCCAGCTACTCAGGAGTCTGAAGTGGAAGAATTGCTTGAAACTGGGAGAGGGAGGTTGCAGTGAGCCAAGATTGTGCCATTGTACTCCAGCCTGGTTGACAAGCGTAAAACTCCATCTCAAAAAATAATAATAATAATAAATAAAATAAAATAAAATGGATTTTTGGGTTGGTATTGTGCTTGTAAGTTTACCCAATCTGTTTACTATCTCTAATAATTTTTTAAACATTCCTTAGGAATTTCTATGTATAAGATCAGGTGATAATTGATCCTTGAATAGTTGTTATTTTATTTTCTTGCATAATTGCCCTAACTGAATCTTCCAATATACTATTGAATACAAGAATGAAAGTAGGTATCTGTGCCTTGTTATTCTATTAGGAATAAACCTTTCAGTGATGACAATTATATTTATTGTTGGTTTTATAAAATTGCTTTTATCATGTTTAAGAAATTTCCTTCTATTTCTAGGTTTGTGAGTGTTTTTTATTGTGACATGGGTGTTGAACTTTTTTGGGAGCCCTTTTTGCATCAGTTGAGAGAATTATGGGGTGTTTTCCATTCATTCTAATAATATGGTGTGCTACATGGATGGTGTTCGTGTGTGGAACCAGCGTTGATTTTCTGGGATAAAGAAATCGTGTTCGTGGTGTTTGATCCTTTCAAAATGCTGTTGGTTTAAATTTATTATTATTATTATTTTTTGAGGATTACTAAGTCTGCATTTTTGAGGTTATAGATCTGTAGATTTCAGTCCCTGAAATGGCGTGACACTGTGTAGGATGGATCAGGATGGGATTGGGTATAGATTGCAGTTGGTATTTACAGAATTGAGTGTGTAAGGGTATTACACAATCAGGACATAGGGCTTTACCAGTTAAAGATTATGGTATAAGGGCTCCAAGTTAGGAGGTTCAGGTTGGTGGTTAGAGCTCCATAGTAGAGATTTAGAGGGAGAGATTAGGCTGACAAATAGGGTTAGGTTGACAGGTCAGAATTACAGTGAAGGGTTAGGGTGAAAGTTTTAATGAGATTTTGGATTGGAGTTATATACAGGTTAGAGTAGGTTTAGCTTAAGGTAAGGACTAGAGTGGGTAAAAGTAACATTAGGGATCATGATTGAGGGTTAAGCCTAGGTTAGATTTAGAGTTACGGGTAACGAGTAAGGTTAGGGTTAGGGATTAGGATTAAGGGTTAGCATTAAATTTTACAGTTTAGAGTAGGAATTTGGGTTAGGATTTAGGGCAGTGGTTAGGGTAAGGCTTAGGGTTTTGGGGTTAGGGTTAGGGTTGTTAGGGTTAGGTTTAGCAACAGGGTTAGGGTTAAAGTGAGGGATTAAAGTTAGGATTAGGGTTGGGGCAGGGTTGATAGGTTTAGGGTTAGGTGTTAGGGTTGGGTTTAGGGTTTAGGGTTAGGGTTAGTGTGAGGGTGAGGGTTAGGGTTTAGGGTTAGGATTAGGGCTAGAGTTAGGGTTAGAGTTAGGCATATGGCAAGGCTTAGCAATAGGATTAGGGTTTGGGCTAGGGCTATGTTTAAGGTTAGGGTTTAGGGGTTAGGGTCAGAGGGTTAGGGTTAGGGTCAGTGTTATGGTTTAGGGCAGGGTTAGGCTTAGGGTTCGTGGTTAAAGTTAGGGATTATGAGTTAGGGTTAGAGTTAGGGTTAGGGTTAGGGATATGAGACCTGGAGTCAAAGATTATTATTTTGGAACCTTATAATTTGACTGCCCTATTGGGTTTCTGTCTTTAACGGGACCTGTAACCCATTTATTTCTTGCATTTGGAACACGTGTATTTTCCCAATGCCTGTATCCCCATTGTATCTAGGAAGTAACTAGCTTGCTTTTGATTTTACAGCTTCATAGGTGGAAGGGACTTGCCTTTTCACAGATGAGACTATGGACTGTGGACTTTTGAGTTAATGTTGAAATAAGACTTGTGGGACTGTTGGGAAGGCATGATTGGTTTTGAAATGTGAGGACATAAGATTTGAGGGGTCAAAGTTAAACTTAATCATAGGAATGTAGCTAAACATAAAATTTTGCAAATCCATAATTTTTATGACAGAAATACATTTTATCATCTTTTATGTATAAAATGTTTTAATGTTTTTTTTAACTCAATGAAATGTGAGTTTTGTGATTTTGATCTTACTATAGCAATGGTGTTATAAACAAAGAAAAAATGAATAATTCAGGATTGCAGAGATGGTAAACTATTAAAAGTAGTTTGGGTATTATGAAATAATTGTGTATTAAATAATTCTAAATCCAACAGTCGTGATTGAACAGATCTGTAGGCATATGTAAGTGTTGAGGTGAAAGTGACAAGCAAAGCAGTTGTGTTGGACATTTATGTTTGGAGGTAATCAATAGAGGAACTGGCTGTGCACCTTCACCTCTGCATCACCTTTGTTTTGTGCTGTAGCTGAGTATCAAAAACAAAACAAAATCACCACTTATTTCTCAAAGAGAGAGAAAAAATATTTCCTTCAATTTAAGCATTCCTAAGTTGCCGCCTGGTGGCCCCTGGGCTCTTGGGAGGAGGACAAGGAAGAACAGACCCTCAGGTGGGTGGGTGATGCACTTGACCCTGAGGACATCAGATACCCAGCCCCCTAACCACCACCGGTACCCAAGTCACCCCTGCAGCCTAGACGTGGCATGGAAGCAGCAAGTGGCAGGACACCCTAGGCCAGGGCCACACCCCCAGCAGCTGGAATACTGAGGCTGGGCACCCAGGCGGCAAAGTCAGGCAGTCAGCCCCACCAGCAGCCACTCAGTCTCATCGGTGTGGATGCAGAGTGCCCAGAGCAGGGGCCCAGGATCTGGAGAGGTGTCCAAGAGGAGTGGACCCTCAGGCCAGATAGGCTGTGCACTTGGTGACCCTGATGCCACCCAAGGGAAGCCCCGCCATCCTGCGCCAGTACCAGAGCTCCACCTGCAAACTGTGCCTCCAGCATGGGCAGCAGTGGGGGCTGGTGGGGGAAGGAGCAACCTGCTATCCTGTGCCTGTAGTCCTTGGACAGGCCTGTCCAGCCAAGGAGAACCCGGAGCCCAGCTTTGCGAGCCCTGAGCGGCAGCCCCAGCTGCCTGTGCACAACTGGGAGTGGCTTCCGGGAGCCAGGGGGCCACTGTGGCGCAGGCGCACACCTAACGGCTTTGCGGGGCTCGCTCAGTCTAATAGGTCGCAGGCTGAGAGTGTTGCTGCTGAAGGCTGTGGTGGACCCGGCTGGATCGCGGATTCTGGGCTAGAAAGCAGATTTGGGATCGCAGATTGGAGGTTGACACCCGGTGGGGGTTGGAGGAGCCGCAGCTCAGGAGCTGGTTTTTGAGAATCTGAGAATAAGTCACCACCTTGAAGAAGTTCCTCCGCTTTAGGAACCAGGGGCCGAAGCGGAGCAGAACCTCAGGTCCTGGGCTCCATAGATCCCATCTACGCTGCTTCCGGGCACCGAATCCCGGAAGCGGAACTGCGGAACATCCGCAGGGCGGCTGTCAGGGGCAACTCCGTGGAGGTGGAGCTGCCTGGCGCGCAGGAGCGGAGGCCTGGACTCCCGGGACAAGCTGCACAGGTAGAGGGGCTCAGCCCGGGGTGGGAGGGTTCCCTAGGCCCGGCTTCTCCCCTGGGACAGGGCCTTGGAGGGCACCGGGCACCCTCGGAGCGGCGGAGCCAAATGAGCCGCAGCTGCTTATCCCTCCTAACAACCCAGCTGGAGCAGCTGGTGAATGTGAGTGATTTAACTCACAAAGTCAGGCATATACAGTGTTGTTATTTTTAACGTTCACGTTTAAAACATGGTGTTTTATACATTACGGGAGGTCCTACTGAGAACTCATTCCCCCATTAAAAATACCCGGAGTCATTTTCAGTAGACGGTAATTCCTCAGATAAAACTGCCCGTTATACATAGATCGGTTCTTTACTGAAGGGCCCTAGAGGGAAACTTGGAAGTGGGAGGTGGGTTTTGTGTTCTTGAATGAGAAGACGCATTTTTCTCAAAATGTGAATTCTTTCTGAGTTTATCAATTTTACATAAACAATGAAAATACCAAGATTTTAACATTTTTGCACGACACCTGTCTTTTACTATTGTGATGACATTTTAAATAATTTTATAATGGACTGAAAAAATACTGGCTTCTCTAGTTATTAAAATGTGCTATTAATTTCTATAATTAATTGTTTACTAACAACTGAAAATACGCATAAATGCATGGAACAGGATAGGAAACCCAGAAACACTGAAATGATATAAGATATATGTAAGTGTTGATAATGTTAACAGATAGGAATAGGAAAGGATGAATTATTAATGAAAAAATGCCTGCTCTTTGAAGAAAAGTAATGAAATTTTATATCACAAACATGATGGTATATGAATTTAAATTAAAAGAGGAATGAAACTGTTTTCTGTCCACAATATGTGTGAGGATGTTTTGTACTGCCGCTTAAAGTTGCTGGTAACTTTTTAAATAGACAATTTGGTGGTAAATACTACATTTGAAAAATGTGTATACTCTTTACCCATCAATTCCATTATACTAAAATACCCTTGGGAGGTAGAGATGCATGCACTTTGTTTTTTGCAGCACTTGTTTAAAAAAGAACAGAGTGAATTCTATAAATAAATTTCTGTTGCAGCCAAGGGTGGAATAATATGTGACCATTGAATGTGACAATAGATATAGAAGTACGTTGATGTGCAAAGATGTATTTTGTTATAGCCAGCAAGGAAAAAAGAATCAGTTTGATTATACATACACAAAAACATCCTATGGTCTTGTGTTAACAAAAAATGTGTACAAAATATAACATTTGTAATTTCTGGGCATTTGCATTTTAAGTAAAGTTTTTCTTATCTGTGATTGCTGCAGCGAGCATGTACAACACTTCTAGTACAAGTTTATTATTAATGGAATAATTCTTGGGAAGAAGAATATGAATGTTGCCCAGATAAAAATAATCTCACTTTCTATTTTTTGACGTCATTATTATTTTGTGTTATCTTTGAACTTTTAGCCTCTTCAGAAATAAAAAGGAAATGTTTCTGTGTCCAGATTTTATGTATATATTTTATTATATACATATATTTTTCTTACATGTAGATTTAGCTCATATATGCAAACAATGATAGATTAATCATTTCATTTTACTTGTATTCTTTGAAAATAAAAATAACAGGCCGGGCGCGGTGGCTCACGCCTGTAATCCCAGCACTCTGGGAGGCCAAGGTGGGTGGATCACGAGGTCAAGAGATCGAGACCATCCTGGTCAACATGGTGAAACCCCGTTTCTACTAAAAATACAAAAAATCAGCTGGGCATGGTGGTGTGTGCCTGTAATCCCAGCTAATCAGGAGGCTGAGGCAGGAGAATTGC